AACAATGGGAAAATATGTGGTTGAAAGGATTGAAATTTACATTATGTTATAATCTTAAAGAAAATTTTTATAAAATGATGTACTGTTGGTATATAACACCAGAAAAATGATCAAGAATGTATAAAGGTACTTCAAATATATGTTGGAAATGTGAAGAAAAAGGAGAGTCATTTTATCATATTTGGTGGATGTTTAAAAAAGCTAGAAAATTTTGGGCTCACATACATACAGTGTTTCAGTATGGATTTTAAGATTAATATTCAGTTGAAAGCAGAACTTTTCCTCCTGGGACTGATGGATAAACAGTTAGAAAAAAGCCATAGCACACTGTTTTTATATATGATAACTGCAGCGAGATTATTGTATGCCCAAAGATGAAAAGATTTGGCAATACCTACAACAAAGGAATGATTGGTGAAGTTGACAGTACTTGCTGAAATGGCTGAATTGACTTATTTGATTAGAGAAAAGACAATATCTACATTCATCGGTGACTGGAAACCCCTTACAAGAGGAATAGGAATTGATAAGTGAGACTCAAAATAAGAACAACAACAACTTCACGCAGACCAAAATTTTGACTCCCTGTTCCACTTAGTTTTGTGGTGTCATTAGTTTTTAAAAGCTCAACTGTTGAAACTGCCCATGACTACCAAGACACTGAAAGCCATGAGTTTTATATCCCAATAGCCAATAATCAACCTGAAGAGGTTTAACAGGCTGTACTCCAGCTGCTTTCCCAGATCCCTTCAGCACATGAACCTTGTCTAAAATCCTTATTCAGGCTTCATCTCTGTTCCTCACAAGATTCAGAATTATGTCCTCATAATTAAACCTGTCTCAAATATATTCTATTTTTTATGAAGGGCCACCAATGAAAGACATATTTCTAGTAATCAAGTATCTCCCATTAATACCATCTTCACAGCCAGCTTTTCGCCTGCAAAGCCTTTTTTTCCTTTTACATGTGTTAGCTCTTTGAGGTAGTCCAGACAAGAAACAACCAAGAGCATTAGCACTATCATTATTGTAAGGTTACATTAAACAGAATCTTGCAAGACTGAAAGTATTTCTCCCCACCTCTCTTTTCAGTCTCTGGACAACTAGGGAGGGTCCTTTCTAAAATGCTCCTCATGCTTTTCCCCCACCTGTGGACTGAGCTGCCTCTTACCAGACCACTGCCTAGGCTGCTGGTCTTCCTCCTGTCTCCCAACGTCATTCCCAAATACCAGCACAATATGCTTCTTGCATGGGATGAAAGAATAGCTGAGACCAACTCTCTAGTTTCAAAGTTATTCACTATCCTTTTTATAAGTTCATAGCATAGCATGATGGAGTCACCACTCTACTGATATCATTTATGTACTGGTAACAAGCAATAAGGGATAACAGAGAACTTGATAAGTCTTGGAAATCATTCTGCTCTACTTCATATCTACCAATCCTGGGAGACAACATATTTGGCAATACAAAGTATCTGGACTAGATGAATCTACTTTTATCTCTTGCTGTGGGAAACACCCAAGCATATTAACCTTCTTTTCCTTTGGAGGTCTTGTCATGGAGACTTAAAGCCAATTTGTCCCCTCATAGCTGTACCTCTGTTACCCATGGTTGTTCTTGTTGCAGGACTTGTTTTCTGTCAAGTTATTTAACCAAACCGTAACAATTTGCATTGTTCATGGTAATGGGAAATTAAATGATATACCAGTTGCAGAGCTAAACTGTGAATTTGTGAACAAAAAATATAACTGAATTTTATCTGTTTAGGGTATAAACTTACTTGAAAGGAGTGTTTGTTGGCTCCAGCAAAACTTTGTGGCGAAGTAGTGCAGGCCCTGAAGAGGAGGCATCTTGTAAAATATGAACAGAAATAAAGTTTTCTGGGGGGCCTCCATGCATTTCAAGTCGTCTGAGAAGAACTTGTTCCCAGCGCTGAAGAGCCTTCAGAACCGCATGGCACACCGGTGAGCAAACTGGAAGTTCTAAGGACAGATTTTTTTTTTTTCATTCACAACAGTATTTTCTTTAAGGTGTATTATATTCTCTGAATGTTTTATACAAAGTATTTTCCACAACTGTTGCTGCTGTCACAATGTTAGTAACATTAAAAAGTGCCAGACAGGTTTTCCCATTAAGGTATCTGTGAACTTCAGAAGTAGTTATATCAAAACTGAAGTTGGCAAACACATTGTTGAATGGAAAACAATGTAAGAACTGTTCAGACTAAACAGAAACATCCTACTGAGTTAAAATGGGACTTAGTTTCTCAGAAGTATGCTAAGGCTATCTGCATCAGCTATCATTAGAATGTTGCTACGGAAGGGTAAGTGAAAATTTTCCTGACTGGTAGCAGCTCTTGAACTGGAAGCACGGGCATCTGCAGCAGCACTGCTGGGAGAGAGGGAAAATACTTATTCCCCCATCCCACCCCCACATGAATTGTGAGATAGTTTGTGAACTGGCACTTGACGTGTCTGAAAACAATGTCTGCTAAAATTTTAGAGAATAAAGAAGTATCCAATTTGAACTTAAACATTTGCAGTTAATATATTCTTATAAGCTATCATCCTTTATACATCATATCATTAGTTACCTTTTAAGTGTTCATGACATTACAATTTTAGCAGCTGATGAGTGTATTAGTTAAGTCCACACTTTTTGAAGAGGAAAAAGATCAGGAAATTCATTCTCTGTCCTTATATTTAGTTTTTCTTAACTGCCACAACTTTCAGGAAAATTACTTTAATTTCTGGCTAATATGAAAGGCAATGTCTTACTTTGTTTTCAATATAAAACTAATTATGATTTTAACTAGAGGTGTGCAAAACATTTCAAATGTGAAACATTTCAAGCCTGTAACACCTTGTTTGAACTCAAAACACTCTATTCAAGTTTAAAACAACTGTTCTGGATTTTACTGGCAATGTTCCAACTCTGCTGTCATCATTCTGAAAGATCCCCAACTCAAAATAGTGCATTACAAACTTGGCACTATATTTCAAATCCAAACTGGGTTATTTAAATGGCCACAACTGTCAAAAGATTTCCTGTTTACTCAAAATACCTGACATACAATACCTCTAGTTTAAGTGAATGGAGTGACATGCACATATAAAAACAGACAAATATGACCACAAATGCTCAAAAATATATTATTACCTGTAAGATCATGTCCAGCCAAAGGGTAGAAACTTTTCAAGTTATGGAGAACTAGCTGAACCATAGCCAAGCGCATCAATGACCAACTAAACAACAACAAAAAAGATTTTATTGTTCTTCCAGCAATTTTCATGTTGCTGAAAACAGAAAATATTGTGTATTTAACTATCTAGCTAATACTTGTTTTCCTTTTCCTCTTATTACTGTGAATGTGCTTCTCTACTACAAGGAAGTAAATTACAGGAGCAAATCAGGACACAAATAATTCACATTTTATTTTAAATTTAATGCTAATAATAGTGCTTTTGCAACCCTCTGCCCCCACATATACTCCAGCCCTATAAAATGGATGTTCAAACTCTCTGTGGATGAAATACTGTGATTTGGCAAGGCCACCTTTGAGATAAGATTTGAGCAATTAATTTCTAATTCATATCATATACTCTTAGCTGTTACTCTAAAAAAGGAATGATCAAACTCACTATCCCCTTAAGGGTTTGCGTGCAAGTTTTAGAAGGAAGGGGTCACAGATTTTTTTTTTAAATTTGCATATACAAGCTGGATTGCTGTCAGTATTCACTCCTGCTCTGTCTGAAAAACTGACAGCAAAATCTGGATTTTCCACAATTCCTGCTATAAAGAACAAACATTATTTCTAAAATAAATGCAAATTAAAATCCAGATTTCAGTAATTATGCAAAATTAAGGCACCTGATCCTTCCCATTAAAAATGTGGTTTAAATTTGATAGTTTTGAAATTTATTTCCAATGAAAAGATTTTATTTTATAAAGCTCCAAGGTTCAATAATTTTATTTAATATATAGATTGAAATGTAATTATTGGAAGTGTATATTTAATTCTTGCCTAATCATAACCCTAAAAAAATAATTAGTTTTATCCATGGAGTGGGGGATGAATGTCATGTTAATATATTTATAATTTTAAGAACACATGGCAATGCAAATTTTGAGAAGCCCTAGCTTTGGTAAAGGATCATACAATTTATTTTGCATCAAAATATATACCCATGCTGAACTGGAACCTGAAAATTGTACCCTGGTTTTCTTTACAGAACTCTGTAATGTGTTAAATTTGCAGGATTACAATGCATTGCTGAAATACCAAAAGCTTCTGAGGGACTTCTTCCTATTAGTCTGCTATCCCAACCAAAAGATAGGAGAAACTCTAAATTAGCAGCACACAAGTATGAACTACTATGAGAAGATGCATGAAAAAGTGCCTGCAAAATTGCCTACATTAATTTTGTAAAGAAAAAACTATAGATATAATGCAATAATAATTTATACCTAAATGAATTTGGGTTAGAGTGTTCCTGAAGTTTTGAATCTGATAAGAATGCTCCATCTTCATCTTCATCACTGCTCTCCTGACTTTCTTCTGAATCATATTCAAATCTAGTTTGGGATGATGCAAGATACGGCTAAAAGAAGAATACAGATTAAGAACACTGCAAAATATTAGTCAAAACTAAAACACTGAACACACATCATAATGTTTGTTTAAACAGTAATTTCTAGTATTTAAATTTAAATATGTATTTATTATATTTACTGCTTAAGTGTTACTATTTTACTTATAAGAGTAAGAAAAATAGTAGCCTTTCTTTCTCCTTTATACTGAATTGGCATTTTTTGCATTTCTTAAGGTATTCTTGTTTTATTTATTTATTTAGTAAATTTACAGGCTGCCCATCCCACACACATATATATGACTCTGGGTGGATCACCATTAAAACAGAATAAAAAACAATAAAACAACCAGAGTTAAAAACAACAAAAATAACATAAAAATAGCAGCCGAGAAGATTCACCACCACTCAAAGAAGCCCTGACATGGGCTCGTCCATGCTATCAAGGCCCCAGGCTCAATGGCAAAGCCACACTTTTAGTGCCTTGTGAAATTTTCTTACTAGACTTTCTTCCCCTATTTGGTCCTTAAGCTTCAAACTCTCCACATCTTTTACAAAATTGGGTTTTCCTGAACCTGATTCTATTCAAAACTCTATGCAAAACATCTACAATGGAAATTCCAGGACTGGCTGGAACAAGAAAACATACTTGCAGAGGTGTAAGTTGACCTTAGGGAAGGTCGATCCACCATTGACCAGTGCCTAGTACTCCATCATCTCATTGAAAAATACTCCTCCCGCAACACAGCATCCCTTTGTGCCACTTTCATAGACTTCAAAGCAGCATTTGATTCTGTATCCCAAGCTAAATTGTGGAAAAACTCCTTGATTGACCAACGTCTACTTCATTTAATACATATGCTACATGAAGGGACCTCACTCAAAGTAAGACGTAACCCCCAGCTGTCCTTGAAGTCTGACAGAGGAAGATTCCTTAACCAGAGAGACAATGGTCCTGTGACTGTAGACATACAGTACAGAAACCACAGAGCACGTGGTTCTCCAGTGCTTATATTACAGAGACATTTGTACTAGCCTCATCTCACCATTACTGGATAAATACCCAGTGTGCAAGAGGACAATTCTATACCTCCCTGATGCTTTCAGATACCAATCCTGCTACAACATACAATGTTGTCACGTTCTGTGCAGCAGTGCTCAAAATTGGTCAGATGATGAACTGGGCCATAAACTAGTGGGCATTTAGTTTGCCATATTAGAGTGCTCTATAAATATAGTCTTCCACACATTTACCTTTAAGCTCCCTTACACCCATCTAATGCCCCTATCCCTTCTTTTAGATTCCTTCAGACTCTTGTTTTTTACTTTGTTTACTTTGTTTTAATACATATTTTTTATATCTTCTAGCTTTTTATAATTTCTTTAGACTATGATGTATCTTCTATGCTTTTTAATTGACTGTACCCACCCTCCTTATTGCTGGTCTATGACTGTAATAAAGATTTAATTGGTTGATGGCTTTTGCATAACATTTTTCCTACTTGCAAAAAATGTAACAGACTGACATTTGAATATGACAATGAAATTAAGGTACTACAATATTGTGTAACAAGTGCTTTTCTTACCATGTGGCACTGCACTGAAAGAAACTGGGTATACAATGACAAAATTTTATTTGTGCTACCATATGACAAAAGAAGGGTAGCAAGGGTACAAAATATGCTCCATAATAATTGACGTGCACATGCCATTTGGCTTAAATGTTCTGTTTCATCTGAATTCACTTTATGATGCAGTAATGTAGCATTTCTCCTTCACTGCAAAAATATCTCTCATAAGCTATTGAACTTGCCTTCCATTCCCTGTTCCCACAAAAAAAGTATAATGGAGAGTAAATCATAAAGTGAGGTTACCTGGATGGAAACTAGCTTCCCAGCCATATAGCTAATCATCTTAAATATGAGCTAGATGAGGATTTAAAACAGTTGATAGCCATTAATTTATGTAAATTTGTAATAATCACTGGGAGGCACCCAGCAATATGTGTTGGGTCTTCAGATGTGTCATTTATTTTAGAAGTGAGGCATGAGTCTCCAGAATCAACTATCCCATAAAAACTAAATAGTTATTCAGGGACAAGTATCGTTAAAAGCTCTGAAGACAGGATCTGTCAATCAATGGAATATCAGCCACCAGCACTAGAACTATGTGGAAACATGGGAGGAAAGGCAGGGAGAAGAATATTCCATGTATGAGTCCATGTGTACTTAATATGTGGATATATAAAACAGGTTTTCTATACAACTGTGTTTATGAGTGTCCACATACATATATACACAAACTACTGGGAAACCACAGAGCTTCCATAACTGCTAGGTAAGGGCAGAGAGGTCTCAAACAATGCCATTACATGTTTATTTTGGAAGCTGGGATCCTAAGAGTTCTCTTTTTATGTCCCATATATAAAGCCATATGTGATACCTAAATCAACTAGGGCCTACAGCTGCAAATCCCTCTCTCCTTCAAGTGTATGTTTGGAAGGGGAGCAGTTTACCTCTCAAATATTCAGACACTGAGTAAGAGTAAGAAGCAGTAGAAGACTTTCCCTCTCAAAGTCCCAAACAAGTTATAACATATTATTTGTTTTAAGCTCATTGTACTATGCCAGTTGGCTCAATAAACTATAACTTCAGGGCAGTTACATAATATCAGTTTAAAATCAAAGGTTGTTGCTGGTTTACTGATTGAATCTATAGCTTTATGTATGAACCAAAACGATATGTTCATGGTTTCCTGCTGTTTGCTGCTTTGTTTTGGATTCTGCTTCATGCCTCTAATCAATGCATGGATTGCAAAAATACATAAGCTTTGGCCAAACAAGGTATGTTTTATTATCTTGAAAACCAGTTTTGGCTCACCATGATGTAAGGACGCAGGCTTAATTCCTTATATTTCTCAGCACAGGTTAGTATACTATTTGAAAAGATTGTCATTTATAGGTGTACAAGTTTGAAGCAGGAGCTGACTTAGTGAGAGATTCTCCATTTATCAAGGAAACATTCACAAGTTCTATTTCTAGCATATCTATAAAATAATACCTTTGCTATAAAGTAGTCCCAAATACTAAGTTCAGGAGGAATAAATTTCTCTTTGTAATTTGAAAAGTCTTGTTCTTTTCCAGGTAAAGTAGTAGGTGAATTCTCTTTTGATGATGATTTTGATGATAGTCTAAACCGTTTATTTTGCTTCTCACCATCATCTATAGGAGAAGAGGCTACAAACAGAAACACATGCATCTTTATAGGTCAATGAAACTTACCAAATAAATGAAGGATATCATCTTCACTTTCAAATCAATTATAAGTTTTTAAGGAAAAAAAATCTGCTTAGTTACAACAAAAGCAAACAAGAACTATCAAATTCAATGCCTATTATGTTTAATTATTGCAATTAAACAATAAAATAGCTACCGTTTATTCCCATCTGTATTTTGTTGGTTATGTTTCCAAGAAAATTTGAGATGCATTTTAAAACAAATGATTCATAATCATTATTTTTGCATAGATCTGAGAAGTGAAATCTTCAATACTCGTACTACAAATACATGTCTAATTTTATAAATTCTCAGAGAAGCATTATAATAGAAAATATAAAGATATCAGTGGTGTACAGGTTTTGTCCTTTTCAATGTTCTGGCTTAAGTCTATAGATAAACATTTCTATTGAAAATAAATGTTATTTCAAAATATTTTCAGCATACTATTTAATGAACAAGCATGAAAATGTTGCTTACCTTAGTGCTAAAGACATATCAAATATACAGGTTACAGTTCAAAGTCTTTTTAGCCAGCACAACAAGCATGCACATGCATTGCTTAATATGGAGCATTAGTTTTTGAACTCAATAAAACAAAGCTTGTTCTTATGTTGAAATGGAGGCACAGAATAATAAGCTGAACAAAAATGTTACATGATACAGAGGCTGAAAAATATGCTTATCTCTAATTCTCATTCAATCTTCCCTATTTTGAAACAGATTTGCTATTTAAGCAGCCAATATCAGTAATCCATTAATAATAAGATTACCAACCAGCCTAACACACATTACAGAAATGTAAACCCCCACAGATTTTTTTTTAGAAATGTGCTTTTAAACATGGTTTACAACTCTTAATTTGAAGTTACAAGAATTCTTGCAGTATTAGTTGATAAAAGTGTAAAACAGTTTACTTTTGTCAAAGACAAAAATATTCTTTGAAATGTGTGGGGTACAAATGTAACACCTGTCTACAAGTCCTTGAAGTAAATGTGTCTTTCCAGGGATTGCACAACTGCCTTCCACAGCCATCATATGGCCCTGTGAAAAGACACATTTAAGTACTTGCAGACAGGTGCTATTTTTACTTGACATCATTTTTGACCGTCATTTTGGGGGAGGATGGATTAAGGATGTGAATCATGATGCCTTGCCTTTCTTAAAGAATGGGTAACAGAGGCTGAAAAACCTTGATTACATCACTAGATTGCTTCCTGCAGTCTTCCAGAGGGTTGGGAGACTGCAGGAAACCTTCAGAAGTTGCTCCCCCAATTTCGTCAAATACTGTTCTAAATACTGAAATATTGTAAAAATAAATTAAAAAGCATTCTGAAATGACACTTCCTTAGTATCTAAAACCATAAACTGTATCATGTTTTGCACAAGCAGCAACATTTTGAGCATTCCACAGCTTGCAATGGAAAGTTGCAATATCAACACAATTTGCATTCCATTAGCCATTTGAAACCCCAATCAGTTTGACATAATTTTAGTTGACTGCTATCACAGAACTATTTTGGCACAGCATGTCTTTTTGTTTTTAAATGTATTGTAAAGTAATTGAATTAAGTTAAAAATGTGGATTTATATCAGCTTTTTTAAAAAAGTAAGCTACAAATTTATTCTGTAAAATGTTATTACTTGAAAGAATTCTGGATCACCCTATATATGCTACATTTTAAATGGATCTATCTCCCCAGTTAAAAATCCAGCATTCATAATTACTGATATATTGGCTTGCAATATAATATATAAACCTAAATATATCCTTCTGTAATCTGTATTATCACTTTACAAATGTCCCATGTTTATTTCACAAAACAGTAAGATATACAACTTAATAAAATTCATGCTACAGTGTGTTAATAAAATATGCTAATATTTTATTATTTTATTTATAGATTTCATTTATAGAAAATATATAAATAGAAACATTTTTATTATATCATGACATTCTCATTCTCACTACAATTTAATTCTCAGGAAATTATTTTATTTGGTTTTCAAAGAGGATCCTATCATTTAAAGGTGTTCTTCTAACATATAAGCCGCCCAGAATCACCCTCCGGGGGAGATGGGTGGCATACAAATTTAATAAATAGTATATATCCAAATTTAATAAATTAAAAAAATATAAAGTATTCAGTAGTTATTTTTATATGCTTATCAATTTCAGATCTCCATGAAACTCTATGTAATTGTTTAATGCTTTTAATAGCACCTAAACATCAAGTTGTCTGGGCACATAACAGATCTGGTTTTTAGCAATCCAATCAAACTGAAAAATCTGTATAATACTTAAAATAATCAGAGAACAGCAATCAATATAGAATGAATATATATTTTGTAATAAATAAGAAATCGTTATAATTAACTTTAATGTTCATGTGCCATATAGAACATCTGAATAAATACTGCATATTTATTCTGTTTCTGCACTACTCCCTTACAGCATCTATTAGAATCACCCAACCATTGTTTCAAAAAATAAGACACATTTTATATCATTTGAGCAATATTTGGGTGGTGGCATGTTTAAGTCCATAGTGGGGAAATGGCCCTTGTAAGGAAAAACATTTTTGTTGGTTACACAAACTCATCTAATTCCTCCAGTTGTTTGTTATTTAGGTATAACTTACAACTGTTCATTCCATTTCCCTTTCAAAAACAACTACTTTGGTCTTTGATACATTAATTTTCAGATCCATACTCCTTGTTGCATTGTACGTTCTAACGTGTTGCAAATAATTTGAGCTTTCAGCCAGCAACATGGCATAAATTACATAGTGAAGTGCTAACACATTCATACTTCACCCAACCCACTTCCGGTATTACCACAAGCTTATACATTCCTTATTTATTCATCCATAAATATATTAAGCAACAGGGAGATGTCACACATCCTTGTCTTTTTCCCTGCTCAGTACTGAACCATTCACTAAGCAATGCTATGATTCTTATGCATGCTTTACTTCTCTCACATATTGTTCTTATCATGTCCAGCAACCAACCTTCAGGTCCATATTCACACAAAACTTTATATTATTCAAGGTTATTCACATGCTTTCTTTAAACTTGTTACATTTATGTATTTCTCAATTATTGCTGGAGGGCAAACATCTGGTCTACATGCCCCCTGCCGAGTATAAAGTTTCACTTCAGTCCCCAAATGTTTCTCATTGTCACCACCTGTATCTTTTCAATCAGAATTCTGCCAAACACTTTCCCAGGCACACTTAACAAACTAATCCTCCCATAGTTTTTGCATTTACTCTTGCTACCTTTCCTTTTATCAAAGGGACAATAAAGGCATTCTTCTAGTCATCAGGCACAGATGTAGTCTTCACACATACAGTGAACAAGACCAAGGCCATTCCATAAAAAAACCCACATCTTTATTTTAACACTCCATTATAACTGCAGTTTAACTCTTATCCTGGGTTCTTTCATTATTACCATTCACTGCAGTATAACAGTCAACTGTCACCAAACTATGAATTCCTATTTTCATATGCACTCACAAATCCAGATAATGCCAATTCAAACTTTCTGACATATATTTTAGCCCTTTACTTTATAATGAAACCTACACTTTCATATGGATTCATCAAATCCTCTCCAGAAGATCAGGCCACCTTTGTTCAGATCTATTACATCCTTCTCATTTCTTTTATTCACAATTGCACAATTTATTTTTTTCCACTTCATTAATGAATACTCTTTGTCATTTATTCTACTTACATTCGAAGTCACAATCTTTCACATGCTCTGGTCATCACTAAATGCACCCATCAGTATTGATCCCAATGGCCCATCATGGTTTTAGTTAACTGAAGTTTTCATATAATGCCTTTTAGCAAGATAGAGTAGGAATACACTAGATTACCAGCCTTAGTCATACTTGTGTCACATACAGCATTTCTTGCTAATGGTAAAGGCAATACCATTGACTGGTCACTTCTGGCACATTTAGGCCACTATTCTATGAGAGCATCCACTCTCAGTTTCAACTTAAGCATGCTTATGTTATTCAATGTAACCAGAATCTCTAATTTAAACACTACCCTCAAAGGCAGCATACTGTTCCAACATCCTACCATCCAGGAGATTCATGCAAAATGCTGACACACTCAGATATTGACACCCTCATAATACCAGGATAATTTATTGGTAAATTCACTTAGTTTCATAATGATGTAAATGCTGCTATTGTTATAGTTCCAGGTGACATATACAATGCATCACCTTGCCCAGTTTTATGGGATCAATTTCTGGTTTTGTACATAAACAATGTGGACAAGTTGGTTGTAGTAGTCCAGCTTACTACTTTTTCTTGCTCTTTCTGATTTAATAATTTCATTTCATTTCAGTCTGGCACAGGACATAATCATCCTTAGTCGCCTTTATTGGGAAAGTGAGAACAAGAAAGTAACTCTCTTACTTTTACTTGATCTCTCTGCAGATTTGGACATTTACCACAGTATCATCTGGGATTGACTCAGCACAAGGGGGCAATTATGTAGTGATTCTATTCCAATCTGCATATCAGAATCCCAGAAACAGAATTGGGAAATTTAAGTTGGCCTTCTGGCAGTCTTGCTGTCCCAAGTACATCTTGTCTCTAATGTTATTTAATAATCATATGAAGTCATTAGGTAAAGACATTAGCAGATTTGTGGAAAGGTTTCACCAGTATACTAATATCACCCAGTTCTATAACTCTATAATATCTGGACATTTGTAATGATCACATCAGTGCCTTAGCAGCGTTGGGTTGAAAGGTAGCCTATAAAGTATATTTTGGTAATGCATTTTGAGTGATTAATCCTCAGATCAAATTGCCTACTTTGAAAAGGGCTACAATCCTTCCTAAGGAGAGAAAAACAGATTTGCTGCTTGGGCCTGTTCCTACATCTTCATTATCACTGGAGACTCAAGACTTCCTCTGTGGTGAGGAGCCTATTAACAGTTTAGGTTGGTGTATCAGATATATCTGGACAGAAACAGTTTGGCTAAAGTAACTCATGCTGTCTTAATCTCAAATGTGGATTACTGAATTTGTTCTCTATGGGGCTGTCCATGGAAGTGGTTCTTAAAGATCTATACTACATGCTAATTTGCTAACAACATAGATGATATCCCTAAATAACTGGGATTAGGTTTCATATGTTTGTAGCAATATCAGCTTTCTCCAAAGCTGGAATTTTGGAGAAGACTGTGCATTTAATGTCTTAATTTAGTGATTTCTTCTCTTCAGCACACCAAACCTCAACAGTGACATGCCTTGGGCATCTTTAAAAAATCTACCTTTTTATGCCAACCATAGCCAGTTACTTATATTTTAACTAGATAAATATAACAAATTAATATGAACTTAATAGCCAACTATAAATGTATTCAAGTAACCATCAGAAAACCATTAGTAGTAGTAGTAGTAGTTATATATAAAAAAAGGTGGAATAAAAATATAACAACTCAAGGCAGCAAACATACTTAATACTTGTCACCTATTTTTCCCACAACAACAACCCTGTGAGGTGGGTTGGGCTAAGAGAGAGTGACTGGCCCAAAGTCACCCAGTCAGTTTTCATGCCTAAAGCAGGCCTAGAACTCAGTCCTTATTTCTAGGCCAGCACCTTAACCACTCTTGCAACCCCCAAAAATGCAAGCTAATTTAAAAGGAATAATTGTTATTCTAATCTTTAGAATGCTTAATACTCAACTGAACAAACCAATGCTTGAAGGTATATATGCATTTCTTTAAATAATATAATTCTGTTCTGAAAAGTTATATTATTCTTTCTATTTGTCTCTATCTAAACACAAAAGCTGAGAAACATTCTATCAAAAATTCCAGTCGAGATTAAATGTATAAACCAACCAATTATGCCTCCGCCTCCTCTGAAACAAATAGTCCAATGAAAATCTATTAATCTTAACAGATTAGCATTAATTTCTTTTATCTGGATTTCACTGAAGTCAGTTTTATATACTTCATGATAAATCCATTTCAGGGTTGACATCTTGATCTAAAGCCATAAAGAAAGCTGTTATCAGATACTATTCAAAATTTATATATTCAGTGTTGAAACTGTACATATTTAACCAGATTATTTTTACCTTAGGAAAAATATTCAGCATGAAATTGTAGAGACGATTAGAGAATAAATTCTCTCAATGTCCTTTGGTGTCATACTTGCTCATCACAAATCAAATTATAATGCACCCAAAATAAAATCAGTTGTATCACCTTATCATTTGAAAAAGCCAAGTTATATGTTTCTATTATTTGCTAGCCTACACTAACCTTCTATTATTAAATTCTTTTTCATTATAAATTAAAGAAATTTGTATGCTAAACTAACAAATATTCATAGCCACATGCATACAGTCATGTGACACAAACAAGCAGCCTTGATGGACAAAAATATATTGGAATATTTCTGATAACTGCAAGTCATGGTCTTCCTTCATTATTAAAACTAATTTAGTATGAAAATATCCAACTACATGATTTTTAATTATTGAAAATTTGGTTAATTTTGCTGACATTATAAATAATTCACAAATCAGAGATCATGACTTACAAACAGATTTTTTTTGCTTTATTACTTTTTTATGCAAGATCACATCACATATCAACACTAGATTCAATGCCTAGGACTGAAGCTAGTATCTTGCCTGCAAGTTTGGTAGGACTATGAGTACTGATGGTTGTTAGAGATTTGGTAAACCCCACGCATTCCATAGAGAATACTACTACCTGATGTGGGCTAGGCATAGGGAAGTGCCTACCTGCCAAAGAGAGAAAACATAAGACTACGCTTAGATAGAATATTGCTGTCATACATAATAGAACACAACTTTTCAACATTTTTAAAAATGTTCAGCCAGCATGTTGTCAACAACATTATGAAGTTACATACAGAAAATGATTTTAATTTTCCAAACAGAGAACCTTTTTCAAATTTATTTAGGACTCTTCATTTATGTTATAAATGCATAAGGCAGCCGTTTTACTTATAATATAATTATGCATAGATTATTTACTGCTGCACTAGATTCCTAGGAGTACAGTGAAGTGTATTTCCCTAAGCAGGCATGCATTAAAACTGAAGACTTATGTCACTTTTTGACAACGGGTATATTACACACAACATTGAGCCATGTGCACAAACAGAAAATATCTTGTATTGGGATCCAATCTTTCAACTCTTTCCTTGTGCAAATTTTATTTTAAGAAATTCTAATATTGTCATTGTTAAACAAGTTAGCAACACATATATCATATTGCCAGCTTGTTTAACCAGGATTTCTTTTCACACTTAATTTCTTGCTCAAAAAGAATAAATCAGCACTTCAGTAAAGTGAAACCAAATTATGGTTTATTCTCTCCATTAAATTGGAAGGAAGAGATGGGTGTGCAAAGGGCACAAGTTCAATTTTTTTACATAAAGTCATTTCTGCTCATGTATGTAATGATAGTTAAGGTTTAGTATTATGTAGGAATTCTGTCACTGTCTGACAACATACTCAGTATAAAAACTAGAAAGGAACTGAGTTAAGAAAATATTTACATGAGAAAAATAAAATGGAAGTACTAACCCATCTTGGTCGTTTCTTGAACTGGTCCTTTCTTGGGAATCTTTGCACCACCACCAAAGACAGCAAACCACATTTTGTCATTAAGGGGATGGGCCACAATCCTGAATAATTCATTGCTGGAATGTGTTGCTAGACCATGAATGAAGAGACTAAGGTAGACTGCTGTAAGAATTTCACAGAGAAAAACTGTGATCCCAGACCGAGCTTCTTCTCCAGCTTGATTCAGTAATTGTATTAATTCCATTATTCCTGGAAAGAAGGAGCTGCCATTTAGTGTTAAAACACACACAAAGAAACACAAGAGAAGCCACTTGAAATTATCTCCAGAAACGCTAAGTTAAGGAAGCATTGGTAATATTAGTGTAAATTTTTTAGGACAGCTGATTCTTTGATGAATCCTGAAGAGAATACTACGATCAAAGCTAAATCAATGGGAATGAATGGTCTGTAACCTGTTGAAGTAAAAATATTTAACATAGTAATAGTCCCATTCCCAAAATATTTATTTCCTCACAAATGAGGATGAGTTTATAAATTGTAGTTCTATAAGCAACATACTATATATAATAAAGCAGTTATACTATAAATAATGCAAAAAGACATGAAGAATCAGAGGCCAGTACCTCCATCTTTTTATTAAATATTAAGTCAAGAGACTGAATCACGCTGTCCAGAAACCTGTATATTACTATTTTAAACTGTGTATTTATGTACTATGTATCACCATACTTTCCATGTTAGTCATGAATTTTAGTTTACATTCAACAAAAATTGTTTATAAATTGTGGAGTTGCTTTAAATCATGATTAACTTTGTGGAAAGTGAAATGGGGATAAAAATATAAAAAACATATGTAGTTTGTCCACCTGGGAAAACTTGTCCATTCAGTTACTGCCTGGAGAGTCTAGATGCATAAAGAAACTAAGATTCTAAGAATGATAGAGTTAAAGTTTTTTTTTTTAGATTTTTTATCCTGCCTTTATTATTTTTATAAATAACTCAAGGTAGCAAACATACGTAATACTCCTTCCTCCTCCGATTCTGCCCACAAGAACAACCCTGTGAGGTGAGTTGGGCTGAGAGAGAATGACTGGCCCAAAGTCACCCAGCCAGCTTTCATGCCTAAGGCAGGATTAGAACTCAGTCTCCTGCCTGATGCCTTCCTTAACCAATAGACCAAACTGGCTCTTAGTAAGGTTATGTCCCCACAGTCAAAACAATATAATATTAATTTCAACTGGTATCCTTTATGATGTAATCAATATCTACTAAGATTCCAGAATGGTAGTGACCAACTGATTTTGGAGGTGACATCAGAAATACTGTGGGCCAACTAGGTAACTGGATGACCTGTGTATGTCACTAAGAGATAAACACATTTATAAAAAATATCTGCTTAGACCATTTCCCAATCTTGGCAACTATGGATGTGTGAACTAATCTCCAGAATTCCCAGACAGCATGGCCATTGCTGAGAATTCTGGAAGTCAAAATCCACAAATCTGAATGTTACCAAGATTGGAAACCCACTGGCTTAGTTGGACAAAGGGAAAATTTCTTGGATGTTACAAGGTTTCTTTTCAGGTTTCTTCTTACTCTAAACTCTCTGTGTTCTCTTTAAACTCTCTCTGAGACAGAAAAATATGCCATGCTACTTTTTGAATTTCCTTTAATTATAGCTTTTTTCTATTCAGAGAATAGAATTTTATTTTGCAACCGTTGGTGCTTTTGTTTCTGATTTTATCCTGCATTATGATTTAACAATTTTCATTTTATTAATCATTTTATTATATTACAGCTGACTTATTATGCTTTGATTATTTTTGAATTATATAATTTTATATTTTCTCTTTTTAAAATTATTGTTACATTTGCCTTATTACTCCAATAAATTACAAAATGACTTTTTAGCGCATTCATGATCAAAAGTCAACTCCATAAGCTCACTATAGCAATGCCGAAGGGAATGGATGAAATAACCCAACTTTCATGGGTTTGGATAATAAAGTAAGCCATGACTACTGCTGCTTAACCAAGAACAAAATGATGATTACAGATTTATATTAACAGTCTTTCAGTAGAATTCATCTTGACCATGTTTCTGGTTCTGAAAAAACTATAATGTGTCTTTGTGTGTTATATAAATGCTGCCCTTAGCTGCATTCATAGCGCATACTAAAGTCAAGATTTTTTTTAACAATCATTCATTAACCAAGGCAGATTGACCTGGTGAATCTGGTTAAACTAAACCAGAGCAGGCCTGGTTTAGGTAAATGAGTTTTTATGAAATTAAATTTAACTATACACCCCAAAATAGCCAAATAGGCCAGTTAAAAACAAATCACATTATGGCTTACCTTTATCTATGAATTAGGTCTTAGTTTTTAAAGCACATGTGTGTTCACTAACCATAGTTAAGATTAATCACCATGGGGTTACCTAACACTGCATTTAATCTAAAGTGGAAGGAAAAGACTACTAATAGCTATAGGGTCACACTAGAAGAAGAAAAAATAGAGGAAAATATTTTAAGCTCACTGTTGTAACACAGAACAATATACTTCAAAGTATCCAGATAATTCAAGACTCCAAGAAGAAAAATGAATCATGATTACCTGGCCATTGAGCTGGTGTAGTATTAGGAGTTACTGTTTCATCTGAGCTTGTTGTTCTTAGGGAATGTCGATGAGAGAGCAGCAATGTCTGATAAATCATTCCAGTGAATTGGTTTGCTTGCAATGAACTATTTAAAAAAAAAAGTTGTAAAAAATCAAGTATTAATTATGATACATCTGGGCTTTCAGGCATCTTGTTTGAATATAATGGTGAACTATGATTTATTTAGCTTAAGTATTTTATACATATTCTAATCAGGAACACTAATCAGATTAGCTACTGAAAAATATATTATAAATCTGATTTTGTAATCCAGGAATTTTTTGTTGCATTATACTCTGTTATGAGATCTATTTAAAGTCAGCTTCAAACTGAGAATTGACTATTGAGTGCATTAGTGTTGCTAATGTCAGGTTAAACCTAGCATTTGGAAACAGAAAACACCTGACTTAATTTATGAACTTCCTTGCTTCTTCCTTAACCTTTCTGGAGAAAGATTACATGTCACTAGAAATGGTCATGTTCCTCCTTCACCTCCTTATTTTTAAGGGCTCTGCCATTAAGGAATGGATGAGTCAATCTTTCAAAAGAACTTGGCTAGGGAACATGGCAGGGAAACTGTTACAAGAAGAAAAGAAGACTACAGGTTAGGCTGGTGTGGGTCTTCTGGGCTGTGTAGCCGTGTTCTGGAAGTTTTGTTTCCTAACGTTTCGTTAGCATCTGTGACCAGCATCTTCAGAGGGCAGGAGCACAGACAGGAGCAGTTCTCTCTGTGCCCAGGATGATGTGACCCTGTTGTAGAGATCAGCGGGGGTGCCTGAAGGGGGTGGGGGTTGGGTTAACGATTGGCTGCTTGTTTTGGTGTCAGAATATGTGT